CCTATCATGAAAGGGTTAAATAATCTAATTATCTAAACTATTTCTTTATAGTGTAATTGTTCAAATAATATAGATAAGATCAACACTCCACTACAGAAAAATAATGTAAATTTTGCGTGGGTGCTACCAGCATTAAATATAGGCTAAAAAGCAACAGAAAGCAGCCAATGGTGCACTCACAGGTCTTCCAAATATCAAAAAAATCTAAAGTTACATCTGGGACATGAGCGACGTTTTAACCCCTTAGGGTCTTTCTCATAAAATAGTACATAAATATATAAGGGAAAAAAATTGTGATTTACCAATAAAGGAAACCAATTCCCGAGACCGGGTGAAACCCTGAAGTGCACGAACGGGTGCCCTGACATAGCGACGTTGTGTAATGACGTGCGCATGATAATGTGACTGGCAGTGTAAATGGTTGCCAGATGATGAGTTATACAATGAGAAAAAAATATTGTGGACTACCTGAAAGGAGAAACAAATCTGTGAATCACACTAAGTAAAGTATATGGAGCCTAACCTAATCAGAGTATAATACTGATGTGTGAATTAAATGTGTGCATGTATGAAAAATATATGTAAAAAAATCTGAAAGCAACTGTTTAAACTCAATAGTGACTAAACTGGGACTAAGAATATATGTGAGAGTATAATACCAATAAGACCATGAATAACATATGGTACTAGCTAGGATATAACCAGTGTGAAAGAAACTGTACGTAAAACAGTAAAAGAGCCACAATAATGTGCACATACAATACACATCACAAGCCTGTATACATACATATAAATAAGTACTCAAAATTAAATAGAGTCATACTCAAAAGTTTGCATATCCTTGGAGAATTGGTAATATATGTACCCTTTTTAAAGAAAACATTATTGAGCAGGCAAAACACATTTATTTTATTTCTTATGGGATTCATATTCAACTGTATATTATAACAGAATGTCAAAAATAGTCCTTTTTTCCTGCCCCTGGCCCATGATGTAGGTGCACATGAGGCTGCACTGAAACGCACGTCACGTTTCTCTGCCTTTTGATTTATTTTAGTATGGGCACGTTAGTTCACAGTTTGTTTTTCACAAGTTTTAATATAATTATTTAAATCATTCTCTTATCTCTTACCTCATTTACCCATCTAGCTAGATTAACAGGGAGAAAGGCTTTTTCTCTATATACCTATCATAATCCACCTATTACTTTATAATGGATTTTGGAACACATCAAGTATGATGGAACTGTCTGCATAACCTCAGTATGTGGTTCCATAACCTGCTCATAAGGGCAAATTGATACTTTTAATCTCAATCTGGAATAAGGATAGGAACATTGTAACACTTAATTTATAGAGATATTTTTAGCCCTCTCACTGTTGATTGAATACTAGCCTTTTTAAGCAATATATTTGGGAGTATATCAACAGCATTGATTTGTCGTCAATATTGCTAAAAATAGGTTTAGTCAATAAAGTCCTTTTTGTAATTTTAAGCATAGAGCTGATTCTCTTATATAGTTCCTAAATGGTAGTGGTTGGGTTTAGGAGTAGCCTTCTAAGGCTAGTCTCACAGTAATTAATATTATTTTGGTATTTGATTTATTTTAATGGAGATCCTCTCCAGTCTGATTTATATATGAGTCTTTTCTACGTTCCACACAGCTTAGGATATTTTAAATAATTCCAGGTTACACCTATCCTTGTGACAAGGAAAATTGGCTATTGTTTCCAATTTTATAATTAGGGTGAGGCCCTAAAACACCCATGGAGTTTCTAGCTGTTGTACAGGTTCAGGGTAATTTTTTTTATCCCTGTTGAGGCATTGGTGTGTTTTTTTTTATAGCAGAATAGAAGTCATAAAACAAAACATGACAACAAAGAAAAAAATGAAATGACCCCGGTTCAAAAGCCTGCATACCATTAGTTCTTAATACTGTGTATTGACCCCTTTAGCATCAAGTACAGCGTGCAGTCTTTTGTAATAGTTGTCTATGAGGCCCCTAATTCTTGCAGGTGGTTTAACTGCCCATTTGTCTTGCCAAAATACCTACAGGTCATGCAAAGACTTTGGCTGTCTTGCATGGACCGCACGTTTGAGATCTCCCCAGAGTGGCTCGATGATATTAAGGTCAGGAGACTGTGATGGCCACTCCAGAACCTTCACCTTTTTCTGCTGTAACCACTGGAGGGTCAACTTGCCTTGTGCTTAGGATTATTGTCATACTGGAAAGTCCAAAAGCATCCTATGCACAGCCTTCGTGCAGAAGAATGCAAATTTTTCTGCCAGTATTTTCTGATAACATGCTGCATTCATCTTGCCATACATTTTCATAAGATTCCCTGTGCCTTTAGAGCTCCCCCCTCACCAAAAAAAAACATCAGTGTGTCACCACCATGCTTCACAGTGGGGATGGTATTCTTTTCACTCTAGGCCTTGTTGACCCCTCTCCAATCATAGTGCTTATGGTTGTGACCAGGGCCGTCTTTAATGCAGGGCAAACGGGGTAGCTGCCCCGGGCCCAATTTCTCAAGGTGGACCTGAGGCACCTACCCCATGGGCCCCATTGCCCTCATCAATTTCTGTTTTTCCCAGTCCTCTGAGTCCCATTGGGTGATCCATGCACTTAGGGCTACCCGGTGGGCTTGTATCAGCAGGGGCTCGGTCGGGCGCTGTTGTCCTTTAACACTGCAACCGGGCCCTACCTTTAGTCCAACCTTGTAATTGGGGGTCACAATAAAATTATTTCTACTTTAGTACCGCCACTGCGTTGGGATGGATGCCGTGATTGCATGCCAGAGAGTGGGAGGCGAGGGCGGCAGGGCCCAGGGGGCCCAAGCAAACGCTTGCCCAGGGTCCAATCATTATTAAAGATGGCCCTGGTTGTTACCATAAAGCTCTACTTCGGGCTCATCACCACAAATTACAGTGTGCCAGGAGCTGTGAGACTTGTCAAGGTGTTGTTGAGCATATTGTAACCAAGATTTTTTGTGGCATTGGCGCAGTAAAGGCTTCATTCTGGCAACTTGATCATACATCTCACTTTTGTTCCAGCATCGTCGTATTGTGATCCTTGAAATTACCACACTGTCTTTTTCCAGAGCAGGCTGTATTTCTCCTGAGGTTTTTCTTTGGATCTCGAGCTATTCTTCTGGTAATTGTGGCTGTTATCTTTCTTGGTCTACCTGACCTTGGCTTGGTACCAGAATTTTCCACTTCTTAGCAAGTGATTGAACAGTACTGACTAGCATTTTCAAGGCTTTGAAAAACTTTTTATATTCTTTTCCATCTTTATAAAGATTCATTACCTTGTTATGCAGGTCTTTTGACAGTTCTTTTCTGCTCCCCATGGCTCAGTATCTAGCCTGCTCAGTGCATCCACATGAGAGCTAACAAACTCATTGACTATTTAGACACAGATACTAATTGCAATTTAAAAAGCCACAGGTGTGGAGAATCACCTTTAATTGTCATTTTAACCTGTGTGTGTCACCTTGTGTGTCTGTAACAAAGCCAAAAATTCAAGGGTATGTAAATTTTGATCAGGGCCATTTGGGTGATTTCTGTTATCATTATGATTTAACCCCTTAAGGATCAAGGACGTATCAGGTGCCTCGATGGGTCAAATTTTTTTTAATTAAATAAATAAAATGTTAAAAAATGTAGCCCATACCTCCCTCTCCCTCTCCCTCCCCATGTACTTACCGATTGCCGCCATTCCCCCGCCGGCTATCGGTCTTCTTCTTAGGGGGGGATGTCTGGGCTGAGCCCAGAGAGTCTCCCCTCTGCAAGAAAGGACCCCCAGGGGCCATCTGACCGGTCACATGGCCACCATAGGCTTCCAGCAGAGGGACTGCCAAAACTGACAGGCAGACCCCCTGTTGGTGAAAAAGTAAAATTAATAAATAAAAGGTAATACATGTAAACATTATTATTATTTTATTATTTATTTAGCACCATTAGATTCCGTAGCGCTGTACAATGGGTGGACTAACAGACATGTAATTGTGGGAGCATGGATAGAAGATAGACATACAGTGCCTTGCAAAAGTATTCACCCCCTTGACTTTCTACCTATTTTGTTACCTTACAGCCTTAAGTTCAATGTTTTATTAATCTGAATTGTATGCAGAGGCGTAGCATGAGTGGTGCAGGGGGGGCCGGCCGCACAGGGCGCAACATCTGGGGGGGCGCGCTCGCACTCGCAGCTCTCTGCCCCTGCCTGGCTCACTCACTCTCTCTGCAGTGCTGGCTGTGCGAATCCGATCCGAGCCGCCGGGTCGCCGCCCACTGTGGAGGGGGGGTGCCAGGCGTGCGGTGCGGTGGGTGCGAAGAGAGAGTGAGGGACTATCTGGGGGAGGGACAGTGCAGCGGCCGCCCAGCGCAGCGCTGAGCGCGGGAGAGAACCACACCAGACCAGCCCAGGCAGCAGCAAGAAGAAGCTGGCAGCGGCGGCAGGTGACACAGCCAGGCCAGAGAGGAGAGAGGGAGCCAGTGGTGACAGACACTGCAGGAGGAAAACCTAGGAGGACCTGGAGGAGAAAACCTAGCCTGCTGACTGCTGTGATCGGGTCCGGGACAGCCGGTGAAAAAAAAGGTAGGAGTCAGGACTGACTGGAGTAGTACTGGCTCAGTGGGCTGGCTGTGTAGTGCTAGCAGAGGCAGAGCATCTCCCAAACTGAAGTTTCTTTGGGATGTTCCCGGTCTGCAGGTCAAGACTGGCATGTTGAGCTGACCAGATGGATTGAAGTTTGGTTGGTTCAACAGTGACAAGACAGATTTGTCCATATGTAGCTGCTCCAGCTCAACATAAATTGATGTAAGCCAGTGGGTCTAGGCGCAACCTTTAATTTATTTATTTTTTTTGCTGAAAGAGTAAGGCAATAGGCATGAAGGTGAATAAACATTATGTTAAGAGTAAAGAAATGGTTATACAATGAAGGGGTGCTAAAAGTGCAGCAAGGCAAGAAAGTGATTTTCTTTTTTTTTTCTTTTTTTAGAATTTTAGCAGAATACTACTATGTCATGCCATACAAAAAAGAATCTCCAGGAAAAGGAGAAAGATAGAGACAGAGCAACAAGCTAAGTTAGCTGGAAGCCTTCACCGGTTTTTGGTGAGTACTGCTGAAATTACAGCAGGACCATCATCAGCAGCACCACAGGAGACTCGTAATCCTGATCCTGTGTCGGTAGACATTCCTGTTCCTGCATTAGAAGCAGAGACAGTTTCATCTAAGGATGTTTATACTCAGCCAAATCTGCCAGAAAATATTGACCAAAAAGTTTATACTGATATTGGCTATTGGCCTGAAACCATGGATGAAACCTTGAAAACTGAACTTGTCAGGCGAGGGACAGAGGAACTGCAGAATAAGGATGCATGGTTTCCAAGAGACAGTAATGGCAGGTCATTTTCCAAGGATTGGTTCTACATACATTTGGACAATGGTGAGACTATGTTAAGGACATGGTTGGTGTTTTCTCCTGTAAACAATGCTGCATATTGCTTTCCTTGCATGCTTTTTCAGAAGGCTTAAGGGAAAAGTTCATTTGGAAAGTCAAGTGGATTTAATGCATGGAGAAAGTTAAGCCCTAGATTACTAGAGCATTAGCGCAGTTCATATTACTTGAGTGCATTTACAATATGGAAATAATTAGAAATGCGGCTGCATAAACAGGAGACTATTGATGCTGCTGCTCAGCTTGCACAACAGAGGTCATTTGAAAAATGGAAGGCAATCTTAGTCAGAATACTTGATTGTATTCTGTATCTAGCCAGGCAAACCTTACCCTTACGTGGTCACTCTGAAGATTTAAATACAGATGGTAACTGTGGAAATTTCTTAGAAACTTTCAAGTTACTCGCCAAATATGACCCAGTTGCCAAACAACATCTTCACAGAGTACAACGCACAGATGGTTACATTGTGTCCTATCTTTTTCCACAGAGCCAGAATGAGTTTATTAGCCTGCTCGGCGATCACATTCGAACAGTCATCTTTCAAAATATCATAAAGGCCAAGTATTTTGCTATAATGTTTGATAGCACTCCTGATATTTCACACACTGACCAAATGTCCCAAGTGATTCGATATGTGCATATTGAAGATTCAGGAGTCCATGTGACAGAGTCTTTCATTGACTTTATTCAGTTATATGGGAAATCAGCTGATGTCATTACAAAACAAATTTGTGACAAGTTGCAAGCTGATGGCCTTAAACTAGAGCATTGCTACGTCCAGGGATACGACAATGCTGCGACTATGGCTGGACACATTAGTGGTGTACAAAAAACGTATTTTGGATATGAATCCCAAAGCAATGTTTGTGCCATGTAACAATCACTCTCTCAATCTTGCTGGGATGCATGCAGTTGGTGTTGGGACAAAGTCTGTTACTTTCTTTGGCACTGTGGAAAAGGTGTATTCATTTTTCTCAAGCTCCACCCACAGGTGGGATATCCTTAAGAAACATGTACCAATTCGTGTAAAGCGATCGTGTAACACAAGATGGAGTTCAACGCATGAAGCTGTATGCGTACTTGCTGAACACACTGAGAAAATAATAGACGCTTTGGAAGCGTTGAGAGATGGGCCGGAAGAAACCTCTGAAACCAGGGGTGATGCAGGAAGTCTTTTAGTTTGCATAATGACATATGTTTTTTTCTCTTTCTTGCATTTTTGGAACCCAGTACTAACCGAAGTAAATGATACTCAGATCTACCTGCAGCAAGAAGGACTTGCGCTTGATCAATGCGTGCAAAAGTTAAAAGCATTGACTTTATTTTGTCATGAAAAACGTGATAGTCTAGTGTCAAAGGCAACTGAGAAAGCTTTGCAGGTATGCAAAACCTATTGCATACCTACAGAGAGAAGAGTTGGAAGACGCAAGAAGATGGATGGTGAGAACAGTTGCGATGCTGGCTTGACCTTAATACAAGAAACAAGCAGAAAACAACTGGAAGCAATTGAGCAGCTTCAGGCAGAAATTAAAAAACGTACTACGCAGATGAATACGCTGCACCAGCGATTTGCTTTTTTGCAAATTCAAACATTGTTGGATACTAAAAAAGATGATTTTATTAAGAAACAAATTCAGCACACGTGTGCTCAGTACACGGAATTGAATTCTGCATCTATGCTCACCGAAATAACTCGACATCGGGACCACATTATCTTGTATATGGAGGTCAATCCTGATGAGCAGGTTGCAAACTGGCCAGCTTTAGATTTGCTTCGCTGGGTGTATAAGTGGAAGCTGCAAGAAAGTTTAACTAACTTTGTTGTCACATTAAGAATCTTTCTTACTATCACTGTTTCTACTGTTAATTAGTTTACGTTTTGTGAAAGAAGTTTCTCAAAACGTAAACTAATTAAAACATATCAGAGATCTACAATGAGCCAAGAAAGACTGAGTAATCTAGCAATACTGTCCATTGCGAGAGACTTTAATGTAGATTTCAATTCCGTTGTTGAAAAATTTGCGCTAATTAAAAGCAGGCGAATTTAAATTAATATGTATATTATATACAGATTGATATCTTGCACTTCTATTAAATAATTACAATTAGAGGTACAGGATTGAGGAAGTTGGCTCCATCTAGCCCAGTCTTGGATCATCTCCAGGGTATGGTTCCATTTTGATGTTTAGTTTTTGTTCTTGATATTTTTTGTCGTTTACGATGGTTGTGAGACGACATATAATAGCATGGCCCATGCTAGGTTACTACATTTGTATATTTGTATTCATAGACCTGCTGAAAATGTGGAGAATGTGTGTAATGCATGTTCGCACTCAATAAAGTGTTGGAAAATAAACTTGTATTTAGATGCATTTTACTTTAATTACATAAGTATTTTCATAACAAACAATACATGAGCTTGGGGGGGTAAAGGTTTCTTTAACTAATCTAGTGGAAGAGACTCGAGTGCTAAAATCCACGGGTTAGGGGGCGCAAATTACTTGCCTTGCCCCGGGTGCTGACAACCCACGCTACGCCACTGATTGTATGTGATGGATCAGAACACAATAGTCTAAGTTGGTGAAGTGGAATTAGAAAAATATATACATAAAACTATTTTTTAGAAATAGAAAATTGGCATGAGCTTACGTATTCACCCCCTTTGTTATGAAGCCCATAAAAAGCTCTGGTGCAATCAATTACCTTCAGAAGTCACATAATTAGTGAAATGATGTCCACCTGTGTGCAATCTAAGTGTCACATGATCTGTCATTACATATACACACCTTTTTGAAAGGCCCCAGAGGCTGCAACACCTAAGCAAGAGGCACCACTAACCAAACACCAAAGACCAAAGAACTCTCCATACAAGTAAGGGACAATGTTGTTGAGAAGTACAAGTCAGGGATAGGTTATAAAAAACTATCCAAATCTTTGATGATCCCCAGGAGCACCATCAAATCTATCATTACCAAATGGAAAGAACATGGCACAACAGCAAACCTGCCAAGAGACGGCCACCCACTAAAACTCACGGACCGGGCATTAATCAGGGAGGCAGCACAGAGACTTAAGGTAACCCTGGAGGAGCTGCAGAGTTTCATAGCAGAGACTGGAGTATCTGTACATTGGACAAAAATAAGCCGTATGCTCCATAGAGTTGAGCTTTATGACAGAGTGGCCAGAAGAAAGCCATTACTTTCAGCAAAAAACAAAATGACACGTTTTGAGTTTGAGAAAAGGCATGTGGGAGACTCCCAAGATATATGGAGGAAGGTGCTCTGGTCTGATGAGACTAAAATGTTACTTTTCGGCCATCAAAGAAAACAAAATGTCTGGCGCAAACCCAACACATCACATCACCCAAAGAACACCATCCCCACTGTGAAACATGGTGGTGGCAGCATCATGCTGTGGGGAGGTTTTTCAGCTGCCGGGACTGGGAAACTGGTCAGAGTTGAGGGAAAGATGGATGGTGCTAAACAGGGATATTCTTGAGCAAAACTTGTACCACTCTGTGCGTGACTTGAGGCTAGGACGGAGGTTCACCTTCCAGCTGGACAATGACCCCAAACACACTGCTAAAGCAAAACCTGAGTGATTTAAGGGGAAACATGTAAATGAGTTGGAATGGCCTAGTCAAAGCCCAGACCTCAATCCAATAGAAAATCTGTGGTCAGACTTAAAGGTTGCTGTTCACAAGTGCAAACCATCCAACTTGAAGGAGCTGGAGCAGTTTTGCAAGGAGGAATAGGCAAAAATCCCAGTGGTAAGATGTGGCAAGCTCATAGAGACTTATCCAAAGCGACTTGGAGCTGTGATTGCCGCAAATGCTGGCTCTACAAAGTATTGACTTTAGGGGGTGAATAGTTATGCACATTTACTTTTTCTGTTATTTTGCCCTATTTGTGGTTTGCTTCACAATAAAAAAATAAAAAAAGAACATCTTCAAAGTTGTGGGCATGTTCTGTAAATTAAATGAATCAAATCCTCAAACAATTCATGTTAATTCCATGTTGTGAGGCAACAAAACAAGAATACTTTTGCAAGGCACTGTAGGTCTTTGGCAGAGCGTAGGGGCCTCGATGAGACATACTTAGGGAGGATAGGTAGGTAGGAGCAGCATTATGTAGGGACTTGTAAACAAGCACCAGAATTTTAAATTGAGCCCTATATCTACCTAGAAGCAGATGCAGGGACTGACAGAGCGGGGAGGCATGGGAGGTGCGAGCGGACAGGAAAATGAGCCTTGCCGCCGCATTCATAATAGATTGCAGCGGTGCAATCAGGGAGCAAATATATATATATGTGTGTATATATATATATATATATATATATATATAAAAAGATGATAGCTTGGCACTCTCCTTGAAAAAGAAAGACAGTGTATTACTTGCCTGGGTGCAAATCTTAGGCGTCAAATATATAAAAATAAAAGAATCAAGATGCACTCACAGGTCTTCAGATATAAGAAAAAAATGGTGCTTTATTAATCCATGTGGGTATACAAAAAAAAATCAATCGACGTTTCAACCCTGCCGGGTCTTTTTCAGGATCTTGAAAAAGACCCGGCAGGGTCGAAACGTCGATTGATTTTTTTTGTATACCGCACATGGATTAATAAAGCACCATTTTTTTCTTATATCTGAAGACCTGTGAGTGCATCTTGATTCTTTTATTTATATATATATATATATATATATATATATATATATATATATATATATATATATATATATATATATATATATATATATATATATATATATATATATATATAAGGTGAGGGTTGCGCCGAAAGTCTCGTAACAGTAAGTATACAAATAGAAAACCACCAAATGGTCTAAATGATACAATGAAAAAATGGTGAAAATAAAATCTCACTAAAATAGTGGTGCAATCCTCGGGAGTTGATCCATCCGGATGGTAAAATACGTATAAAAGTCTCAGTAATATAACAGGATAAAATAGGGGTGCAATCCTCAGGAGTTGATCTGTCCGGATGATAAAATATCTGTATATGTGGAGATACAAGGGGGAGATATGACAGACAGACGATAGTGTAATACGTCAGAGATCCAAAGGTACAATGGATAAAATGAAGGTAATGGGCTCACATTTAAAAGAGCTTAAACCAGCTCTAGAGCGGAGGGCATCTAGCGGTACAATTCCCGCTATGGGATACAATGGAGAGATGTGTCGGTCAATCCGGTTTAGGTATCCAGGGTTCCAGGGTATATAAAAAAACAACAATAGTGCTCTCAATTTGAAAGGAATGTGGTATATAAAATATATAAAATATACTCACAAGTGTAGAGCAGAAGGTACTGCTCTATTGTAGTAGCGTTGGTGGAATGATCCCCACCTAGGATTTCTTTGAGTATAGGATAAGTGAAAAATGCCAGTAGTACCAACCATCAATCGGACGTCTCAGCGATTATTCCCTTTGTGCCAGGGATAGAAGACAACGACTCTCTGACTTAAACCCTGATGACCAGATTGGAAGCACCAACAGTTTAAGTTTAACCTTCACTTATATGCTGATATTACTTTTAGCTTTGTTATTTGTGTCTAAATCACTATACCTACTTACTAATGATATTCACTCAACCGCCACATGGTGGACTATTAAGTGCTGCTATAGCAACAGAAACCCACCCCCTAGAGATAGCTTTCAATGCTCATAATGTTACAGGATGTTATAAGCCTACAATCCCCCCCAATACCTCATAGGTTAGATACCTATATACCACCCAGGTGATACTTTAACGCCATATACACATAGTCTCAATTTATAGATGCTTACCTGTTGGAGAAGGCAGACACTTCAACTACCTACCCCATGGGGTAATACCTGCTCCTGGGCATCATTAATCTACCAATAGCTATAAAAAAAAAAATAGGTGAACACACTAAACTCCATTGTTTGCAAATCTTGACTATGCTTATCAATTGTTATACAATGAAACTGCTGTTTTGTTATACATCATCTGCCAAAATAAAGAATAAAAAAAAAACAAAAAAAAACCTGCTATATTTGGCCAGCGTTTGTGACTAAGTGGCTACTACAAAAGACTGTAAATACCTGAATTGGAAAACCCTGGGTTGTCTACATTTGAAAATGGTATGCCATGATGGGGTTATTTCACGTTCCTGGGCTACCATATGGTCTCAAAAGGCAACACAGACCCAGTAAACCAATCTGGCAAACTGAATTGGGCAATTCAGTTTGACCCTGTACCTTTCGAAAAACACCATACAGACCCTGTACCTTTTCAAAACACCATCAAACCTGTACATGGGGGGTATTGTTATACTTGGGAGACTTCGCTGAACACAAATATGAGTGTTTACAACAGTAAAACATATCCTGTCAATGAAATCACCAGAAAAAGTGCAGTTTTTGTGTAAAAAAATGCAAAAAACAAATAAAACTGCCAATTTGGCCAAATTGACTAAGTGACTGGAAATACCCCATTTTGAATACCCTGGGTTGGTCTACATTTGAAAATGGTATGCCATGATGGGGTTATTTCATATTACTGGGCTACCATATGGTCTCAAGAGGCAACACAGACCCAGCAAACCAATCTGGCAAACTGAATTGGGCAAGCCCTATATTGATCCTGTACCTTTTCAAAACACCATAAAACCTGTACATGGGGGGTTATTGTTATACTCAGGAACTTCGCTGAATGCAAATATGAGTGTTTACAACAGTAAAGCTTATCATGACGATGAAATCACCAGTAAAAGTGAAATTTTTGTTTAAAAAAATGCAAAAAACAAATCTGAGCGCTAACTTTGGCGAGCGTTAGTGGCTAAGTGGCTACTACAAAAGACTGGACATAACCCATTTTGAATACCGTGG